TCATCTGCAAGGTTCAGGGGCAGTTTGATAAAGTCATCTGCATTCAGGGGCAGTTTGATAAAGTCATCTGCAAGGTTCAGGGGCAGTTTGATAAAAGTCTCTTAAGGCCAGTTTGATAAGTCATCTGCAAGGTTCAGGGGCAGTTTGGCAAAGTTTCTCAGATTTTGCACTCGCTGCTGGAAAGGCAAAAGGCGCATCCTACCCAGGGCATGCTCAACGTAATTCCTCTGTTCGTGTTGGCTCCGTTACGGCTGTAATTACGACCGTGTTTGGTGAACAATGTCATGGAGTCAGTGTGGCTACGTGTCATGGGGTCACCCGGCAAAGACGGAAAGCACTGACCTTGCAGATGCCAGCTGCGCTTCCTGGCAGTTCACGCCAACAGGTCAGCGCCCTGCAACCCGTAGTCAGTTCTGGGCAAACCCATGAACGGGAAACACAAAAAAAGAACAAAAAGGTTCGTGATTTCCCGCAGAGGGAATATGGCGGGGGGATGGGGGGTTATAGTAGGAGGACCAGGAGGACGATGACAAAGAGTACAGATGGAGAAGGAGAAGAGATGGAGGGAGGCAAAGACAAGGGAGGCGGAAGAAGATGGGCGGAGGACTGGACACCGTCTGTCCTCCACCCATCCTCTTCCTCCTCCCTTGTCTTTGCCTCCTTCCATCTCTTCTCCTCCTCCATGTGTACTCTTCGTTGTCGTCCTCCTGGTCGTGAACCTTTTTTTTCTTGTGTGTGTTTCCCGCTCAATGCGTTCATGGACTTGGCTTCCGCCATATCTCCATCTCCCTGCCATATCCACATCTCCCCATCATGGATATGACTCCGCACAGTTCGGGGCTTGGAGCGCACGGCTCCGCACAAGTCCGCACCCGCACAAGCACGCCCCGCACAAATGTGCGGCTTGTGTGGTTGCAAGTATGATTCTATCTTGTTGTGTGATTCACTCACAATTTTTCTGATTGGCTTGAGCAGATTTATGTGTGTCATCCTTGTCCAGGGGCCATGCTAATCATCTTCTCTGTATCATTCCAACTCTAGCTGATGTCCCGAAGGACATAAAGAAATGGTCTTTTTTCATTGGGGGGGGGGGGGCAGGAAGGGCGTGGGGAGGGGGAGGAAAAGAGCAGATGTGCGTTTCAAAATGTTATCTTATTTGCTTTTTGGAATACAAATCCAAGTCATCAACATAGCCGTTGACCATTTTGGTATCTGCATCCAAATCCGTCCAGGTGATGAACATCGCCATTGATAATTATTAATTTTGGATCCACAGAGGAAAAAAAAAAAAAAAAAAAAAAAAAAAAAAAAAAAAAAAAAAAAAAAAAAAAAAAAAAAAAAAAAACCCATTCATCATAAGCTCTTCTTGAAGAGAAGGGCTCTCATATCAGGATCAACGTTGAGGTGGTCCCCAGCATCTCTGAGAGGGGATCTGACAAGTCTGGATCCGGGGCTGACGACCGTCTCCTAAGTCTGTATCCCAGTTGTGCAGTATACTCGAGGAGAAGTTTCTACCTGGTATTCCAATTCGATCCTCCACTTGCTAGACTGATGTGGTCCCCACCATCTTCTCATGTTCCAGCTGCATGATCCAGGGTCTGCTCATGGCATTCTGTAGATTTTCGAGTGAGTTTTATTTCCTTCTTTTTTCAAAAGCGCAACTGCCTTGAGATATCATCGTGAAACTGACCTTCCCTAGGTCATTCAGGAATTTCATTCATCTGTTTCCATCCTGATTCGAACTCACGTCTGCATTTCAACAGTTTTATCAACTTTTATGGGTGTACCAACTCACCTAAGCTCATTGGTGATCTTCGAGTGAGTTGTTTTTATTTTTAGTTACCCTTAATTTTATTCTTACCCGATCTCTCCTGCTTATCACAGCCTGACCTTGATGATGCCTTAATGACTCTCCTGGTGTGTTTCCACATGGCGAATCTCTTTCCGTGTTAGGCACGGAGAATCTCCGATCCACTCACTACGACTGCCCTCAAAATCCCAAAATGCTACCGCCTTCCCGGAATAGCAGCTGCATTTGGTACCACTTTCCGTCTGGATACAGCGATAATGACCGGGTTGCACCTGCTATCATCGTGTTCGCATTCGGTGACCGAGCCTGAACGTTTGCGGGCAAACGCGAACAAAAAAATATTAAAAAAACAAAAACGAAACAGTTACTCATGCAAGGATCTGAGCCCTCGGCATGGCCGTATAGGGGCCCCGGCTCCAAGCTCTGTGCACGCCCTAAGTGAAGGCGGGCCCTGTATCTCAAAGGGGCCTGAATATCGCATAATTTGCCAGCCTTAGTGCGCGCCAGACAGTTGCCACGCGCCAGTTGGTTACATGTGCCCTGCTCGCAAGCATCAGAATATTCCGTGAGCCTTCTAGGCTCTTCTACTCAAGACTTGGAAGCTGGCCTCTCAGCCAATCAGAAAGCAGGGAAAACCTCACGGTGCACGAGGTGTTTGGGTGTGCCTAACTGCTGCGGGCCGAGTCCACTGTCTGAACAAGCCTGGGCGCAGACACTTTGCCCAAAGTAAAGCTACTGGGCACGCGCACGTCCCAGTCCAGGCAGCCATCGTGCCTGGACGCTTTCCATTTAGGAAAGAGCCAGGCTCCTTGGGATTCATTGGGGCACTTTCTCTTCATGCGGCAGCGCTGCCACTTCGGGCGCTGAAGGCCGCTGGTCGAGAGAGAGCTGGGTGCACGTGGGCGGAGGTTGGCGAGAGGGCGCTGCTGATAAGCAGTGCCGTAGCCCAGGCAGCCATAGCGGGCCTGGGGCTGACATAGATGGCGGGGATTGGCGGAGGTCGTCGGATGGGGATGGAACTTGGGTGGAGAAGATGAGGGTGAGCACAGAGAGGGCGAGTGAGAGGGAGGAGACGTGAGAGTACGTACCTGGTCCTGGGGGGAGGTCTGCATGCTCGACATCTGCATGTACTGCGGTTGCTGCTGCTGACGTCAACTGATTGTTTTGGCATTATGATAAGCTAGCGTAGTAGCTGTAGGATCGTAGTCTGGGTGCTGAGCACCATTAGGAGGAAGAGCTTCGAGTACATTGTTGGTGGTGGCGAGAGAATGCTCTCATTGACAAATGAGTTCCCTGCTTTGGTTCTCCTTCGGTGTTAGATGAGTGCATTTCTGCTTTCTGGACAGAGGCATTCACTCATCTTCTAGGAAACAGGGAATAGCTCTATCCAAATCAGGGACAGGCCAAAGGTAGAACAGTATCTAAACCAGAGAGGGTTAAGGGTGTTAGCAATGTTAAAATCAATAGAGCCATCCTAGAGGTACTAGAAACCAAGGAAAACGGTAGAGCCCCGTGCCGAACGAGGTCTAACAAGAGTTAAGATAACTCAGGCCAGGTTCAAGGAATAGGTCAACAGACAAAAGATATCAGGAATGAGTAAACCCAGACCCAGGATAGCCAAGGCTGAGTTAGTAGCCAGGATAGCACTTAACACAAGTTAACAGCTATAAGACCGGAGAGGAGAGTCAATTTAGAACATAGAGCCCGCATTGTCAAAGACCGCAACACTCCAAGTAGACAAGCGTAGGAGTTCAAGAGATCGGTGAAAAGGGCCGAGAGGACGGTTCCGGCAAAGCATAGAAAACCTGACAGCCTAATAAGAACCTGTTTTAAGCAGGGCAAAAAAAAAAAAAAAAAAAAAAAAAAAACCTGAGAGGAACCGGCGGTTTTGAGATCCCAATAGGCAAACTGCAAATACTAAAGGGGTAGGAGAAGAAAGGAATCCCAGTAGAACAGGGTAATAACTTAGGCAGGGGTAAAAGATGGTACATCCTTACCCTCGGGAAGTAATCAATGCCGTTCATCGGGCCTCCACACCATAAGGGGGAGGAGCGTGTGTGTGTGCCTCCTATTGTAATCCCTTTAACTTGTCGGTGGAATTATAGGAACCGGACTAACGCTGCCCAGAATGGAAATTGAGTCACAACCAGAACCTTACGGTTCTGTTAAACCACTAGTACCTCTGCCAGCGTTGGGAAATTACAATGTACTGGTCTGTCCCCGAAGAAATCGGTGGTGGGACCCAGCGTCGGTGAGTCCCATAAATCTTTGTTTTCTTTTGCCCGCGCGTGAAAGAAAAAGGGAAAAAAAAAAGCTTATGTACTGCAATGATGTCCGGCAGGGTAGTCTAGGAGGCCGTGCTCACAGTCTTCCTCTACAGAATGCATCTCCTACAGCAAAGAGGTCACATTCTGAAACTTGTTGTTTTCTTTTTTTTTATTTCTCGTTTGTTTATTATGAGTCCCCTGCCAACGAGGCAGGGCGAAATCCGTGATCTGCGCTGGCTGTGTTTCCTCAGAGGATTGTAACCCTGATGTATCCAGCCATTTTCACAGCCGAATCCGTGTTTCCGTTTCTTTTTTTTTTTTTTTTTTCTGTTTCTGGAATCTGACAATCTGAATCCGTGATCTGCTCGGGCTGTGTTCCCTCAGAGGATTGTAACCCTCATCACAGTGGCACTTAGAGGAACGTATCCAGCCATTTTCACGGCCGAATACGTGTTTCTGTTTTTTTTTTTTGTGTGTGTGTTTTTGGAATCTGACAACCTGGCCACGGGGCTGAGATGCCCTCACTGAGGGCACACTCACACTACCACTTCCAAGAATGTATACAACTGCAATCATGGCCAGAGCATTGTTTCCTTTTCTTTTT